CCAGCAGCATTTCAGTTCGGGGTTGGTTCCCCCTCACTTCCTGTCCTGCTCATCATTTTGGATTTCCTGAATGGGGGGATGGTCTGGTATGGCTGCAGCGAGATGCCACGGTTAGAATATGTCATGGCACGGAGCTGTCTCCTTCAAAACTGGAGTCCTAGCGTTCTACCCAGTAGGGCTTTAAGGGGCAGGCCTGGAAGAGGAGACTGGAACGTGACTTAGACTTCCCTGGTGACTGAGACCAAATACATTCGTACGCCCAGACTTTCCTGCTGCTGGCAGTGTTGTCTCCATCACACCCCAGGCTGAGGGGGTCCTTGGCACATCCCGGCACAAGTGCCAATGTAGGGTGACCAGACAGCAAGTGTGAAAAATCGGGATGGGGGTGGGGGGGGGGTAATAGGAGCCTATATAAGAAAAAGCCCCAAAAACTGGGACTGTCCCTATAAAATCGGGACATCTGGTCACCCTATGCCAATGATCTTATCCAAACCTCACTCCCCTGCGGATTTCCCTGCACGGCCCCTCCTTGTTCCGTGAGACGTCACGTTGGCTCAGGATCCATCTCTCTGTATCCAAAGGATGCTGCATTTATTATTATCAACCCAGCTTTGTGGGTGGGCAGGACGCTTTACAGATCAGTGGAATATGACAGGCCCCAGCTCCGAACAAGCTCCAAGAACATGATTCGTAGGGGCCGAGCACCCAACTCTCTCTGACCTCCAGGGTGCTCAGTGCATGTCAGGATCACACACTAAATTAGCCCTAACTCACTAAAGGACAGCAGTAGGGCAGAGCCGGTGCTAGCCTATTGGGGGCCCTAAGCAGGAATATCCCCCCCCCCCAGTATTAAAACAGGCAAGTTCTTAGATTAAAAAGTGGATAGGTGGGGCCCTTCAGCTGCTCAGGGGCCTAAGCAGTGCTTAGGCAATACCTATACTACAGACCTTACAGCTGCACCACTGTAAGGTCATCTAGTCCAGTCCCCTGCACTCATGGCAGGACTAAATATTATCTAGACCATCCCTGACAGGTGTTTGTCCAACCTGCTCTTAAAAATCCCCAGTGATGGAGATTCCACAACCTCCCTAGGCAATTTATTCCAGTGCTTAACCACTCTGACAGAAAGTTTTTCCTAATGTCCAACCTAAACCGCCCTTGCTGCAGTTTAAGCCCATTGCTTCTTGTCCTATCCTCAGAGGTTAGGAAGAACAATTCTTCTCCCTCCTCCTTGTAACAACCTTTTATGTACTTGACATAGCGCTGTCCACACCAGCACTTCTGTCGGTGAAACTTGTGTCGGTCGTGTGTGTGTGTGCGTGTGTTTTCACACCCCCGACCGACAAAAGTTTTACCAACAAAAGTGCTAGTGTAGACATAGCCTTAGTCTGCTTATGTCTAGTGTCGGCTCTGCACAAGAGGAAGGGTGGATGAGCAGGAGTTATGTTTATTGTTATACATTCCTCACTAGACCCCTGGCCAGGACTCTGGGGCAACACCCCGAGACTCCATCCCAGACTTTATGCTGCACCCAGTGCATGAGGGGACAGGACTTTGGGCACATGCACAGGAATGATCAATGAAGTTCAGTCATCTATCTTGCTAGCAAGGCTCAGTGACTTGATATAAGGAGCTGCCTGTAAGTCAGGCCACAGGTGGGCTCCAGGTTAGCCCCTCCTTGGATGATTTAATGCCATGTACCTGCAATGCAGGCCGAGGTGAGGGCAGTGCTGCTGGCTCAGGTGGAGATAGGGAGGTGGCCTGGCATGCGGGGTCAGGAGGATGTTCAGGCATGCAGGGGCTGGGAGGAGTGAAAGCGTGGAGCCTCACCCAGGCCAGGAGAGCGACAAGGCGAACAGAACAGATAGAATCATAGAATATCAGGGTTGGAAGGGACCTCAGGAGGTATCTAGTCCAACCCCCTGCTCAAAGCAGGACCAATCCCCAGACAGATTTTTACCCCAGTTCCCTAAATGGCCCCCTCAAGGAATGAACTCAGAGCCCTGGGTTTAGCAGGCCCATGCTTGTCGGGGACCCCCCGGCGCTGCTTTTGGCAGAGCTAGGGGAGATGTCTGCGCCCCACGGCGGCACAGCAGCCCTGGGTGGCACGGGATGCTGCAGTGGGGCGGGAACAACAAGCAGGTATGGGGTAGCTGGCAGGAAGCAGTTGCAGAAGAGCTCGGTGGGGGCTCGAAAGCTCGCCTCTCTCCCTCCCCAGAAGTTAGTCCAATGAAAGCTATTCCCTCCCCCTTGTCTCCCTATAACATCCTGGGACCTGCATCTCTCCCCATCCCACCAGGCCCTTCTCCGGGAGAAGACAGAGCACAGGAGACCCCCTGTTAGCCTCGGAGCCCTGGGAGCAACCTCCCCCCTGCTCAGCACCCCGCGAGGCCAAGCGCCCCACGCCCCTGAGTAAAGCGGGCTGGAGTCAGCCCAGCAGACAGGCAGCCGGGGATCACGCTCCTAGCCCCACCTGTAGCAGGCTCTGCTGACTGACACGCTCCTCGCCCAATCAGCCTGCCAGCAGAACCAATCCGGCTCCTCCCTTCTGAGCGGGGCGGGGCACATACTGATACAAGCCAGAAGGAGAAGCAGCTCCCAGGCAGATCAGGTGGGGGGACAGCAGGGCTCTCTTGGGTGCATGGGCAGGGAGCGTCTTCCTTCTCCTGAGACATCGCACCTGGGGCTGACACCTCGCTGGGCCAGAGAGACAACGGCAGCTTCACTTGCATCCTAGTCCACCTCCAAGGTAAGAGGCACCTGGAGGGTGAAAAATGCTCCGGGGGCTGCGACAGCCCCAGTGGCTTTGGGGACAAAAGGGGGTTGGTAGAAATAAAAGGGAGGTTTAGCAATAGCTGATGATCACACAATGTGTTGTGATTAAAGGGGGGGGGGAGAGTGGGTCTGATCACCCAGCTGGCCCTGTCATGTGGTCTGCTCGGCTCACCCCCTCTTCTGACCCAGAGCCCCTTGCTGAGTGAGCTGTATCTGGGGCACCACAGGAGCTGGTCTCAGACAGGTGTTGTACTAGTGGCATCTATTGCAAAGGAGTGTGTGTGTGTGTGTGTGTTTAAGTTGCTTCTCCTGAGGGAGCAAAGAGGCTGGGACTCTGGGTTCCTTGGTTACTGTGCCCTATGGGCTCCAGCTCAGAGCTTGCCCTGTGCTGGCATCACCCCAGAACGCTTGCTGCTCCTTCTGCAAAGTTCCCCACAGCTCTGGCAGTGGGTTTGGTGAGTGCAGCGCCTGGCTGGCAGGCACGGGGCGCCCTGCCTTTGGGAAAAGGCAGATGGGCAGGAGGAGGGGTATGGGTTGGCTCTCAGGAGGGGGCTGTTCTGCATTAAGCCCAGGGGAGCCTCCTAACACAACCTCAGTCAAAGACCCGTAAGGTCTTTGGGGAGACATGTGCACAGACACCCCTCTGTACCCCATCCCTTTGTTTGCCTCCAGCTAGCAGGTTTGTGCAGTGCAGTGAGGACCGTGTCGTGCTGCAGATCCCAGCAGCATGATTTTACGAGTGTATGTGGGGGCGGTGGGCTGGGGGGAGGGACTGTAAGGGTTGTTTTAATTTATGCTTTATTGTATGGGGGGCAGTAAGGGGATCATTCCTCCACATATACTAGAATGTGCATATAGGTGCTAGTTAGTTCTTATATGTACCAAAGCTTTAGATTCTCTCCCCCCAACCATAAAAGCAGCCATCTTGTCATTGCCGGTGGGAAGGCCCTGGTTTGGGAGGGGATCTCAGTGAGTCCCCTGAAGAACAATTTGGGTACGAGGTATTGTAAGTGGTGGCATTGCTATTCTGGAGGTCAGTGTCTGCAAAAAAACAGTCTGCAATCCAGAGTCCCATGTTTGGTCACAACAACAAGCCAGTTCCCCAGGGCTTCAACCCACAGTGGTCCCCCCCCCCCCGTTCCCCACTGCCTGCAGCAGGTACCATGAGCCGCACGCAGGCAGCAGGGCACAGGGAGACTTGTTTCATCGAGATTCTGTTATCTTTTGACCAATCGGAGCTCTGGAGGCATGTGGGGTGGGTTCTCCTTATTTCGGAGAACCTTCCAAAAGTGCCATTGCACGACCGAGAACGAACACCGTAACACACGCTCCAGCCCACGGAATGAAGGAGCCCTTTCCAAACTCCACCATGTGCCCGCATCTTTGGATTGCACACGGTGTCGTGTGTGTGTCGAGGCACGCACTGTGCTGATCTGTGCACACGCACCAGGCAGACTGTCCACGCAATGGAACGTACACGGCACACAAACCGGCTCTTACAATTCTGGGTCTTGCATCAATCTGTTGCTATGGTTCTTTAACTGTTAGTGCAGCAGCTTGGGTGGGGCCACGACCAATAATTCTACAGCTCCTTTCATCCCGCCCAGTCCCACAAGCAACCATGAACGTCTCCACTTAATCCCTTGTTCCACTGATCAAGATGTAATTTCCTGCCTCTGGGGTTCACTCCCCTTCCCTGCGCAAAATGGAATTATCCCAGCCCGGGATGCCTTTTTATTCCCTGGCTCCTGAAGCGTGAACTAAATTGCATCAAATGGCGGCCTCAGAAATATGGCTTTAGTGTCCCTTCTCTACACGTTCCCGTCTCGTGTGTGTACACCCACACACTCAACGCTTGTACACTCCCCTTTGCGCACACAATGGATATGAGTGCACAACCTGAATATGCACGTTCCTTATGTGTATGTAACCTGGCTAGATCTATTACATACCCAGGTGGTGTTGCACTCCTTACAGACCTACACGTGAAATGTCTTCCTGTCTGCCCAAACCCACAGGGCTGATCACCTGCTGCTCCCAGCGCTGGCTCAGCTCCTACTGAATAGGGACCATGCAAATATCGCCCGTACCCTGGGGCGTTCCTCACAACAGTTCTCATTGTTCTCTTATGCAAAGTGTGCCCACTGTGGCAGACGTGGGAACCTCATTGTGTATCTACTGGGAAGGATTGTCCTTCCTGTCTCTGCACACTGGAGGGGATCCCTCAAGCCCAGCCATTTCCCTTCCTTTGAACCCACCCGCCCAGCAATCTTCTGCCTTTGTTCACAGCAATGGCTTTTGCACCAGGAAAACCCTGACTGCTTTAGGAGCAAAAGGGTTAATTCTCTATCAGTAGCAGAGCGGCCTGTGCCTAGACTCAATCAGGAACTTGTGGTGATCTGCAGAGGGACACAGTCCCACTAAACGGAAGGAAGGGGGACTCCAGGAGACCATCTCAGCCCCACAATCAGAGGGGTGGGGGGAGCAGAACAGCTGTCTCCAAGGCCTTTCTCTGACGTTCAGAATCATAAATCTCTGCAGCAAAATGGGAAAACACAGAGAATGGAGAATTTCCATGCTCCACGTGAGTCCAAGAGAATAACTCCTGCACTCTGGCTTCC